GGGGCACGCAGGAGTCGCGCAAAAGAAGGAAAAGGGGGCGACGGTGCAGGGGGGGGGGGATGTATACTACACCTAATAAAATTGGATTAGGGGTTAATTGTACTTCAATCAATAGAAAATTTAGATCTCTCTTTACTACTTTACATTTTAACGATTTATGATATAGTATTGCTACTTCTCCGTAAGAGTTAGTACCTTCTTGAGTTAGTCAAATATAGTTTGGGTAGGTAGATACTTTTCCTTTAATAGCTGACCCGACCTCAGTGAGAAGAAAAAAGTGTGAGGAATGGTCGGTCATGATAACATCGAAATCAGCAATATGAGTATTTAAATCTTGTACATTATAAAGAAGAAAAGTAAGATTTTCGTGTACTTCATTTGGTCTTTCTTTTGTCCATTTTAACGACAAAGATGAAATATTTTCACGTGTATTCGATTCATTTATGATTTTAAAAAGTAATTCTTTCGTGGGAGAGAGAGATAAATGAGTTAACAGCATTTTCTGAGATATAAGGCAAGAAATAGCGAAATTCTTCACTGACCATGCTGAATCATCGTATTATGAGTCATATACACTTCTTCATTTCGATTATTCATAATTAATAGAAGAATTTAAATATGTTGTAAAGTGTTTTGTTGATGAAAAGTGTTGAATTGTTGAATAAAACGATTGACATGTATTAATAAGTTAAAAAATAACTTTTTTTTTGACTACCTCCGCTTTTTAATCCATCATTGTTATTTACTGCTGTTTGCACAACTGCTAATGTTTCATTTACAACTTTTGTAAATTGTTCCAGCATATTCGCTTGCTGTTGAATCAATTGAGTTGCAACCACGAGTATTTGTTGAAATTGTTTGTTTTGTTGTTCAATTTTTTCTTTAGCTTCTGCATCTTGTTTCTCCATCTCCAACTTAAGACGTTCACATTCATTACTCGTTCTCTTAATTTCATCTAACATCTGTAGGTTATTCATGTTGTTGTTTGTGATATATGTTTGTGTTTCATGTCCATAGGGCATTTTAACTTTAGGTTGTGGAAGAGAACTCCACGCTTCAGGATTATAGATATAATGTTGATTACATGTTGAGTTTTTTGCAATATGTGATCGGTTGAACATCATTTTCATTATTGATTCACCTTGTTGTCTGCATTCTGAAGGTACAAAAAATTGCACATTTGGTGGTAATAGCTCTTGATTTTGTTTCAATTTTAAAACTAATTTTTTTCTATATTCCGCAATATATGGGCATTTATAATCAGTAGCCTTATGATCATTTGATTCACATCGATGAAAGTAGATTGGTCAATCTTTATGTTCATCTATCCACTTGTCCTGGCCACACCATCGACATGCATCATAATTAAATTTGCAGTTGTTGCGGATGTGGCCAGGATCGTTGCACTTGGAAGAGATCAGCAAACGAGGTGGTGCCAGAGATTCATTTATTTCTATAACTTGACTATGTAACGTAAAGACACCTTCATTGATTATTTTTTCATATTCATGTTTATCCTTCGAATCGAGACGGATATGTCTAGTTTTGTTGCTTATGAGTTTCGTTTATTTTTTCTAATTTAAATAATGAAGGATAAACGGTTTAATCTCATCAAGTACTTCATTATAAGATATTGATTTAAGTAAAACCGAATACTGAGGTGGCGAATACTTCGGTATTTCATGTGAAATATTTGTTGAAAGAAGTGATGGTAGATAGTGTTTAGTATCACATAGGTAAACGTATAATTCAGGTTCACATGTATAACAAACTAAATTTCCTTGTTTGTCTGCGTACCAATATTCAAATCCTAAAGGGTGTTTATACATTTTGTTGATATGACGAAAATCTTTTTCAATATACAAAAAATAATTGTTTAATTAAAAATTCACCTTGACTATGATTATTTATTTTTGAATCACAGTTAATTTTGATGATTGGCAGCTGTTGCTCCACAGCATAGTGAAACGCGTGTGGGAAAATTTCCTGATCACAACAATTTACATTTATTTCATCTTTTTTGTTTTTGTTTCTGGTTTAATTCCTTTTGACGTTCTACATCATCTAAGGAATTTTCCTTTTGGATTTGTTCTTTACCAATAAAGACAAGACAAAGTTGTGATAATGATTCATGTGCACCATTAACGTTTTTTCTTCTTCTTTTTGTGCTACCTGGAGTTTGATCACTTTGATTGATTTTAATTAAGCAAATATTTTCATCTCGTTCTGTCAAAGAATGCAGATCATTTCCATCTTCACTGTTTGATATTCATCTCTTTGTTGCCATTGATTTTTGTTTCAGTTGTTTATTTTTTTCAGTCATCCTTTCATGATCACACAATTTATCGCGTTTAGTAGCACTAAGGTTCCGGTACATTAGTAAATGAGTTTTATTATTGATTATGATAATCAATAAATAAATGAATGAATGATAAATAACAACAATACGATAATACTTGAAATAAATATAAGTTGAACGAAAATAATTAGTACGTGTGCATATACCCAACGGTGTATGCACAAAAGAGAGAAAAGAGAAAAAAAAATGCGTCTAACTGTTACGTGCAAAAGGAGAAGGAATATATATTCGTTTTACTAATAGGGTTGTCTTAGGGTCTCTTCAAGGAAAAGCATTTCAGATCCTTCCTAGAGAAGGTCAAGGATGACCAGGATCTTTCTGAAAGCATGTCAAGGTTAGACGAAGATCTTTACCATTTTCATTTAGAGTCTACTAAAGCTTGATCTTGAGGATTGTAACAAGATCTATGACTGATCTGGTTCAGGATTTTGAATAAAATTATGAAATATTTCCACCAAAATCCTTAACAGTTCCTATTTAAGATTCTTCGAATATTTTTGAATCTTTGAATCTCAAAAACTTAAATTGTGCTTGTTAAATAAAATTTTAACAGTAACTATACTAAAATGACAATGAAGAATTTGCAATGTGTTTTGTTCCGGTTCTGACAGGAATGTAGA